TTCGAAAAAAGTGGAATATTTTTATAGGTAAATTGCTCTGAAATTGCTTACCTTAATTAATTTTAGCGTTCTTCGATCACCTCTTAAATCTGGCGGTAAACACTGAGCTTGAAGTTCGATTGATATGATTGTTTCTGGATTTGTTACACATTGAAAAATTGACGATGGTGATTTATTACGATGACATGAACCTACTGTCATTTTTCTGCAATGGGACTACGAGAAATTCTCACAAATTCATTTTAAATTATACGGTTTAAAATCTTAATTGCAAAAATTATGATTAAACTAGGAAAGTAAAATTGCCAGAAAAATGGCATCCACTAAGGAAATAATAATGAAGTTGTAGAATTTTCTGAAATATTTTAAAGAATTTCTTTAAAAATCAGAATCTTTCAAAAGAAATTGATGCATGACAGAAAAAAGAAACTTATTTGTAGCAAAATCTTGGATTGGCAGTAATGATGGAGTACAGTAAAGCATTTGTTCAGCTTCCCATGGAGTTATCATAATTTTCTGCGCCAAATCTCTTATCACATCTTTATAAATATAAAAACTTTGATTCTTTTCGTTGAATGAAATGACTGGATGATAAATGATTTTTTTAATTTTGCAAATAAGAAATACGATACATTTTGCACTAATAAACTATTCTACGTTTTTAAATATTCTACGTTTTTTAAAAAAAAGAAGTACCAAATTGTCCTCTAAGTAGATGACGACGAAAAGCTTGAGTTCTTCTATTGTTTGGCCAATTTTCTTCGATACATAATTGAATGCCTGCTAGAAATGCTGCTTCTTCCTTCGGACATGGCAGAGAGCCGCTAATAATTTGTTCTTGCAACTAAAAATAAACAGAGCTCAATTCTCAAAATTTATGAACCTCAATCCAATAAATTTTAATCTCGTAACCTAAAATTTGATGAATTATTTTAAATAATTGCTCCATTATTAGAAATTAGAAATTGGAATTGAAAAATTCGTTAAAATAACATCGAGTCGAGACTTGCAGATAAAGCGCAAAAATAATGATCCTAGGCAGTAAGCAGCTAAAGTACCATCACTAAAATAGCATTCTGCGTCAAACTAACATGAACTAACATCGAAAAACTGTTCATTAATTTCTTCATCAGATTCTTTCTTCTCATCTTCAGATTGTTCCTGAAAATTCACCAATTAAATCCGAATCTACTTGATATTATTATCAAGTAATAAAAACATCATAAAGGATTATCACCAAATCAATGAATTTGGTTCTAAATAGAACAAAATAATAAATAAAATAATTTGTGTTATATTATGTTGTTGCTTTTCAAATTAATAAGCACTTTTTCCTAAAAATAATGATAATTTTCTAATCGAATACTTATTTATTGAATTGTAAATCTCGATAGAAACTAACCACGTGATTCGTAATCATCTGAATAATTTCAGTGCACCTGAAATTAAATTCTTTTTATCTCCTTTAGAGAAATTTCTGAAAAATTAGCTAAATTTGATTAATATAAAATACCCAAATAATTGAGGATTTCGTCAAAAGAATAAAAGTTTTCATATACTTAATGCGGTTCTCATTGGAATTTCAGATAATTTACCAATTTTTGACCAGTGGATGCTGCGGTGAACTGATGATTTGTTGAAAAACGTTTATACTTTCTTTCAGTGAAGTGACGATAGCTTTATCGTATATAGTGTGAATAGTTAATAAATTTGCAATCAAACAACGAACTAATTCAAAATCTGGAGTCACCTCTGCTACACCAGTTATATTAATAGGACTCTAAAATATATGAAAGCTATTTGATCTCTCTGATTATAATCGGTGATTTTATAACAATTTGTAATTAAAAGCTACACCGCTAAATAAATGAATAATAACGAAATAATTAAGTAATAAAATATTCATATAAATTTCAATAGCGAAAATAAAAACTTCTCGGTCAATCGATGGCACACGAAGACTATCTCCTTGTGATGGTGTTTGATAGACCATTAATCGAGAACCGATGGTTGATGCCCCTTTTTTCATAGTATATAGAATTGGCGTTGAATTTTCAGATGTGAAACTTGTTCCAAATGAAAAAGTTGATAATCGAAAAGCACCACTAGAGCGCGATGATCGATGACTAAATGATGATGAAGCACATGAACCACCAAATGAAATCTCTAAAATCAAAATTTTTAATAATGTACAAAAAAACGCAAAAATAGAAAGTAGATTTGCGATATACATACCATCGAAAGATTTTTTAAAACAATTTTCATTGATGATGATTGGAGGATAATCGAACGATTCGGCACCAGTAATTTCAGGTGAGTTCAATAAATAATGAAATTCGAACTGAGAAAGAGCTGATGGCCGCCGGATTTCGATCGCAGGTAAAGGAACTGGTGATGTATTCTCGTTTGAATTATGTTCAATATTTTCTATTTTAATTCTATTATCCAAATAAGTCGATTTTTGTACTGGTGACCTTGAATCTCCAAAAATTAGAAAAAAATTAAGAAAAACTTTTAAAATTAAATTTTTAAAAACAAATGGATGTCGTATTGAGAAACAAGACCCTTGATAGGTTTAAATCCATCTTTAAAAACTCTGAGTGGCTCTAACTCCAATGATCCATTTCAAGCCAAACTTTGGAAAAATTTGTTAACATTATGAATAGCCAGTGGAACGAGCATAACCAGAATTATGAGTATTAGCTACTTATTTAGTTAATAAATAGCAAATTCATTAAATAAATCCAGATTTTTATTCTTGCCCAGATGGTGATGCTCCTTGGATTTCAAGTTCAGGCAAACAATTTGTATCGATACTGTTAGGCTTATCATCGAGTGAATGCCGTGCAACTTCATTAATTTTACTTCTTTTTATCGGATAATTTTGTAATAATCGTGTAAATTCTACAACATCTTCTGAGCCCGAAATACTTTCTGTACTTGATTGCGCTGCAAATAAAATAGCAGAAATGGTAACAATATCCGAATTTGAATAACACTCACTATAATGAAATATATATCTATAATATATAACTATTAAAATTAATTTAAAATTAAAAAACTGATTCGAATGAGATGAATCCATAAAAGAAATAAACCTTTGCTAGAAGGTTTACCAGAATCGGCCACTGTACGACCGCGAAATAAAATTTGCAGATATTTAGGAAACACTGTTTGTTTGTTTAAATTGCTCGATAAAGATTGAAATCTGGTTCGATTAGATAGGAGGCTAGGAAAAGTTTTTAGCCTGAAATATTCACCAAGTAAACTTTGTCCTTAGGCTACCAGTTTCTGAAAAATTTTAATGTTTAGAAATTCAATACTTGGCAATGAAGGACTTTAAATAAAAAATTCAAATATATTGTAATAAATGCAACCTTTTTGTTCTTTCAGGTTTCCTTATTTCTTTCCATCTAAAATGAAATGATTTTGTTCTGGGCACAAATGCTGAGCTTGACCTTTGGATCATTTTTCGTTGAGATCCTCTAATTGACCCGAACTTTTGAAATTTGTCCGTTTTAATATTGCTATGGCGATCAAATGATTTCGATTTAACGAATTCTTTTCTAAATTTTGATTTTTCAATGTAATATTTTATTTTACGTATCTACGTATTCTAAGCCTTGAAATAAAGAATCTTCTTTTTTAAACTTACCTATTATTTATCTTATTACTTTGAATAACTGCTTTGTTCGCAGCAGTCATTCGCCCTTTAGTCACCAAACCCAAATCCCATGAAAGCTTATGAAGAAGAAGGCGTAGAAGTAATGTGGGACTTAATATGAGCCCAATTTTGCATAATGTTTCCTCTAAATTATCCACCGTAATTTTATGCATTTTAAACTTGTTCATCAAACTGGTATCAACATCACTTCGTTTCACCTGAAATTTTTTCCATTAAAAAAGAATTGCAAGAAAAACAATTTTTGCGAATCTATCGCACTTTTTTTCGAGCTGCTATATAATCTAAAAAGATGAAATTTCTAATGGCAAAATATTTTATTATCTATGTGCAATTTTTATCGCTTGATTTCTAAAACACATAAATTCAAAAGAAAATTGAATTGTATAAACTAAAATATTTGCAGATGCCTGATAATAACAATATAATACCTTTTGCGAAACCTTATTTGGTCGCAAATTATTCCCAGAAACACATAAAGATGTTAAGTTTGGAGATTCTTCCGTAATTGCTAAATTTGCTAGATTGCGCAACTTTTTATCGACCTATATAAATTTTAGAATAATAGAGGTTTTGAAAAAAATTTAAATTTTTGGAAGCATCGTGTTTTATTTTTTACCTATTAATATTTTATCATTTCGTTAATTCTTTATTATATCATTTTATTAAATTATCATCATCTTATTAAATAACTTAAGTCTTTTACATTATACTTTTTATTACATATTGTTATTTCTGCTATTTAGGACTTTTACTACTTTAAAATAATGTATTTGTAAGATGAACAATGTAACATTCAATGTAACATTTAGAAACCTATTTTTAAGGCTAAAATTATGTTTTATGAACGGAGAACCGTGGCATTAACTGCCAAAATTGCCTAATAAGGTAATTTCAACGTTTATTCTTAAAAATAAATTAACACAATATTATTTGTACGTATATATATATATATATATATTTATCTTCTATCCATCGAGCCTACCATTTCTGGTTAAGTTTGCTCTGCTACTTGTCTGAACAAATTATTCTGAAATCATTTGGCTATTCTGAAATCAAAGTGCAAGTAAATAGCCAACATCATATGTATCCTTTGGGCAAATTTATTCTTGAGGGGAATAAAACCGTAACATCAGCCCTTCGAAAGCATATTGAGGGCAACACAACCTAAATCTGAACTATTTCTATTCCTTATTGAATATTACAATAGTTTTATACTTTTTCTTTTTTCGAATAATACTGTGCCGTTGTTTTGTTGTCACAAGTATTTAATTCAGTTTTGTCTTTCCTTTTATAGCCAAGAAAAATACAAGTTATTTCAAAACCATACTTCAGTACGAATGTGCCACAAAATTCCTTCAGGTGAGCAAGCACATCTACCAAATCGACTTGCAGTAAAAACGGTTGAGCATACTTTACAAATATAATCGTCCTCACTGGCATTACTCGCTGCATTCGCTGCATCTTCTGTTGTCTCTTGAATTTTTCTTCAATATAAAAGCTTTTTAATTATATCAAGCAGTTAAGCTATCTGAAAAGGCGAAGAAAACTTCTAAAATTTAAACTTCTAAAATTTAATTTAAGGTTAAAATTTAAAATTTATGGGCGAATCGACGCTTTTTTTTACAACATAAATTTTCACATTATGTATAGTTATTTACATATGTTTATTTACTGTATTATATTACTATATTACTAGTAACACAGTAAGAAATATCGAGTAAACTTTTTACCTGACATCTGGAATAAACAAATTCGATTACCCACGCGATCACCCATTCCAATATAAATTAGTATCCTAGCAGCTTGATACTTCACAAAATGCCCGTATTTCGTACTATGATTTGTATAATACCTAAATTCCCAGAAAATCGTCGCAATCTAATCTTAATTTAGAAGTTTATAAACTAATTTTTTCTCTAATTTTTAATTTGGCTTAAATTAATAAATGGAATAAATTGCACTTTCTAAATATTATATTCATTTTAATAATATGACAATAAAATTTATTAATAAAGTTTTATTAATAAATATTATTAAAATCATCTGACAAAAATATTATTAATAATAGTAATAATATTATTAGTAATACGATTGAAAATCTCTCTGACGAAAAAATTTCGTATCCTAACAGTCATTGCCTAATTAAAGATAGCAAGTGAAACTTTTTTTCCTTTGTCTGGAGAGAAATTTTTTAATAGTTTTCTTAGCCCTATTTCATTGCTTTCTCAACAAATAAATAAATCGGTTGAAGATAATACCAGTCATCAGCAGGTAAAAGCATTTGGATAAGTGTATCGTCAATTTGTATATCAATGAGAAGACGATGAGTACGGGGATTTAAAGCAATAATTGCCACTGATTGCAGCAGCAAACAAAGAAGCTGCTAAAAAAAAATTAATTTTTTCATAAAAATATTACATTGTTTTTAATCCATGACAATACATCACTATAAAAATCACTAATTACTTTCTTAACCAATTTAACCAAGTTTATATTCTAAATCTAAAATTTTATAAAATAGCCTTTTAGTAATATTTTCCTCCCTAATTTATTTGCGTAAACAATTTAATTTAATTTACTTTTAAACAATAGGCAAATTTTTTCATTTCCTTTAAAAAACAATAATTACTGGATCTAATGTAGGATCGAGAATCTGTACGAGAGTCTTTAGCTGATTCAAATCCTGAAGTGAATCCTGAAATTTCTGCAAGTGACAAAGAAATAGAAATAGTCGAGCGATTAAAATTTGAGTGCAGTGACGCCAGCACTGTCGCCATCGATGTGCAGGACTACATATCGAGCGTGAATAAATTTCTCGATTTTGCATCGTTATTGCATTATGCAAACATGCAGTTACTGAAATTTGAATGATCGGTGAGTAAATGGAATCATATCAAAAAAGATTAAAATAGATAATGGAACAAATGATAATTTTGTTCAAATCAGCTAAATTCTTACTAAAAGATGGATCGATAGATGCAAAACACTCGAGTAATTCAAAATCACTTTCACAGTTTGCCACAGATGATAGTAAGATTTCATTAGAAGCTTCTTGATTAACTGTTTGAAAAATTGAAACATGATTTAAAATTCCAATTTCAGATGTGAAATAATAACTTGGCATTGAGTTATTTATTTCACCAAAATTCACACATTGGCCGTTTAAAAAATTTGTTGACTGGAAAATTGTTTCAGGTGTATCAGCAAGATTTAGAACAAGGATTGTATCGATCACCTGGAATATATATGTGTAATATAACACGTGCTTTCTTGATTTACCGATTTAAAGGGAAAAAATTGGAAAAATGGACTAAATGATTCGTCTTTAAATAGACCTAACGATACATGAACTTACTGAATGAATACTCTCAATAATTTCCAGCAATTTTTACAGTAAAATCACGACCTTATTCAAAGTGCTTAACGCTGTGAACTGTTTTTTTACACCATTTTTCTGCAAGTTGTGAAAGCAAAATCTTGTGATTTTTATTAAAATTTTGGTAAAATTTCTCCTTTCGATGTCATGATAAGACGGAGTTGCAGATTGATATTGTTCAATCGAGGTCTGAATGATATTTAATAAAGCGAATATCAAAATTAAGTAGAATTTGCGAATATAAATTTTTATTCAATATAAAAAAGAGAAAATCATTCAAAATAGAATTTTTAGAAAATATAGATTAATACTCAAGCTCAAAAAAAGCTCCATTTTTTTCATCATAAAACAGCTCATATATTATTTAACACTTACATATTTTACAAAAAATAGGCAAATTATTGATCGAATTATTAACAATAATCAAAGATACACCTATACTGTCTCTAAAAAATATATACAAGTTTCTCAAAAAATTTTTACTAGACCATAGCTGGACTAAATGATTCAGCCAAAACTCTTCAAATGGACCTGACGATATATGAACTTACTCATTCTCTTTTCTTAATAGCATATTACTATTTCTGGTTGGCTTCACTAGCTATTAGGATGACTAGCTATTAGTCATTTTACTAATTTATAAATAAAAATATAAATTAATTCTCTATGCCACTCAAAATTCACCTTTAATGGCAGGCTGCTCCCAATGGGAATGGTACCTATTTGCGGCGGTTGAACCTTATTAGATGTAACATAACGACTCGACAATCTCCTTATATTAGTGCCAGACAATAAATTAAAGGATACTTAGATAATAAAATAAAGTACCTGAAGTATTTCATTAAGTAAGCTGCATAAACTTGAATCCATCAAATCATCATTGGTTTCTGATGTTTCTATATTGATTAAATTATCGACGAATTTTTGCAAATTTTCCTGAAAAAACCAAAAAAACGGAGAAATATGCGGGAATTTTGAATCTACAGTAATAAAATTTTTGCAGTGATAAGCGCACATCACAATTTATAAATTTAATATTTATTCGCAGCAAAATACCAAATTAGGAAGCTGTATAATAATAATATTATAAAAAGATAAATCTGAACATATAAATATTCTTCAAAATCCATTTTAAAGACGATCTTAGAGTTAAAAATCACAATAGACTATTTTAAAGCGAGGCAAAAATTTTTCATCATGAAATCAACCGAAAGCAAAACGTAATTCAGTTATTACTTTTATAAATATGCAGTTTTTTTGAAAAATTATATTCAAAAGTATTGCTCACCATTTTTCGTTAGACTAGCTCTATTGTTAATGCAGTTAATTTTTGCCAGAGTCATTCGGCATATAGACACAAATTGCCAGCATCAATTGGATTTCTTTAATGATAAGTTTGCTCTCGAATAGAATTGGAATGGAATCTTTTAACGATAATTGGAGTCATTATTCTATCCCGCTCCCCTTATTTAAACCTATGAATAAAGCTGGAATGAATGAAAAAGTAGTTTTACCAGAATCGGATCAATGCATTCATTATTCTTTGCAAGTCTTTTTAATATTTCCCACGAATTCTTTTCAGTTCCATTTGAATTGCCTGCTAAATTGTTTTCGATAGCTTTGGTAGATTTATTAAAAATTTAAGTTTATGCGGAATATTCATGATCATGAGCGATCAGATTAGTTAAATATTCGAGTGGATTCGAGCCAAAATTAATTAAATTAATTAAAATTCGTGATCATGAGCATGACGCTAACCATCTTGATTGTGCCTCTTTTTCAACTGATTTAATAAAAGTTGAAGCGATTTTTGTTTTAATCCATCTTTTATATCGATCATAATCGAATTTGTTCCAGTTGATAAAACTGAAGATTCTTTTGGCGATGAAGTTCTCATGAAAGAATTCTTTTCAGCTAAAAAACTATTTTCTTTATTAGCTCTAAGCTTTCATAAAACTGCAAAAAAAATCGGTTTAATTGAAAAAAATTGCTTGGATAAATAGATAATTAAGAGAAATTTTCCGATGAATTTTCAGATTTTACTTTCCCTTTCAAATTATAAAAATGTTTGCTAAGTTAAAACACGAAGGAAGTAGAGAAAGAAAGAAGAAATATTGCTCATTAATTATTAAAATTATTAAATTATAATGGGGCTGACTACTATTAAATAAATATTTAATCACTTATTTATAGTCTATTTATTTTTATTCAAAAATCTCTAAAATAGAAAAATAAATTTAAGACGAGATTAATAATATTTTTGCTTAACATTTTTAAAAGTATTTATATATATGTTACAATAATTTTTATTTGTTTATGCATATATATATATATATATATATATATATATATAAAATATTTGATCTTTAACGCAGATATAAAATAATTGAAATAATTTAGATTTTCTTAAGGTGCATGCGCTGCAGACCTCCTGTATTTCTGTTTCTAAGTGACTCTTTGGAATAACCCATGGACTCAGAAAAATTTTCCAATATTTCAAATGCCGATAGTATAATGTATAAGTATAAATATCAAATAATTTGTTAGATAAAAAGGAACTATGGCATTAATAAAATAAGTATCTTAAATATTGAAGAATCTCATTCACCGTATTGTTCTTTTGAGTAATTATTTGATATTTACTATGAATAATAAAAATTTAAAAATTAATTAATCTGTGAAAAAAGAAGATAAATAAGATTGGGTGAAATACATATGGTCATTTAATTTTTACATACTTAGAATTTCCTGAATCCAAGTGGTGTGAAGGATTGCTCCTGCATCACTTCTGCCTCCAAATGAGCTTCTGGTAAATGTATAAATGTATAACATCCTAATAGCCAATGGAACTAGCCAGTTAAACTGGAGTGTTATTAAAAGAATTCATCGAATGCCTCTGCTATTTTTTAATAATCCTAGCGCTAACAATAAAATATTCGATAAATAATATTTTAGATGTTTTATTCTACCATTAAATGGAAAGAACAATATTCGTCAGATATTTATCATTCTGCTTTTTAAAACGTTTGAACGTTTGAACCTGAATTGTGCCGATTTCCTTTCTTATCGGTGACTTTTGATATAAAATTTATAAAATTTACAAATATTGTCTGATTAGCTTTTTATAAAAATTGATTAATTGATCTATGTGCTGTTATTGACAAAAGTAAATTGTTTAAACTGCTTGAAATTAGATTAAATGACCTTCGACGGCAGCTTTCTTGTGTGAATTTTTGCTTGATGACCTCGTTATATTGTTCTTTTGGCTTTCACTTTGATTACTCGTTTCATTACAAATAACTTTGAAAACTTCTTCTATACAGCTACATTGGATCTTTTTAAGTTCTGATATAAGATCTAAAGCGCAAAATCCTCGTAAATTTTTCTGTTCGATCCTGAAAAGTTCCTACATCACCGAATGGAAAGACACATTAATATGTTGCGTAGCTGATCGATTGCTGTTAAGGTATCATTTCGAGCATCGTAACTCGACCATAGCCTTTAACAAGAATAAATCTATCATTAAAAATCTCAGCAATATTTCTCTGATATTCTGGGAAGACAACGTCATCTTAAACAACCAGTGGAATAAGCTTAACCAGAAATGATGAGTGCCTGACATTTTAGGAGAAATTTTGGAAGCATAGATGGCCTAACGATGTATGGGCTTAAACGATGGGAAAAAGAATGGTTTTGACACTGGATCGAGAAATTGGATCCCTATAGCTGCATCCTTCTAGCGCTCTTTGAAATTAAATTCATTATTATTTTGATCCCAATGAACGATGCTTAAAATTCAAAGTTTAAAATTTCAATTAAATTCAAAAGAAATCACCACCAGCAAAAATTTCTAAAATTTCTATAGAAAAAGTGAATTTTCACACAAAATATTAGTATCTACCGTGCAGCTGACAATAATAATATTTGCACAATAGGCCAAGAAATTCTTGATTCTCGTACTGCAAGTATTAATGGCGTATTTCCTTCATCGTCAGCAATATCAACATCTGCGCCATGAGAAAGCAAAAGTGCAACCATCTCCGTATTATGCAATTCAACAGCCATTGAAAGTGGTACTTTATTAACAAATGATGCAGTTAAAAATTGTGTGCAAATATTGCACGGTTCCACACTTGTCGAATAAGTTCTGCAATTTATTTTTTAGTTCAAAATTAAAATTTTAACTGAATTAAAGGAATCACCAAATATATCGAATATGGCGAACGATAGTCACTGATATTATCCTTTCGTATACCAAATTCAGAGTCTGCCTCAAATGGCAATAGACCTGTTTTGCAAAATCTGTGTGGTGCTAGTGATCCAGATATATTCCTAAGTCCATAACAAAATTTTTCAGAGTATCAAAAGCAAATGAAGCGAATCTAAGCGAATCAGAAATAATATCAAATAATATCAACTTTTTTTTAATTTTTCTCAAAATTACAAAATTTCAGAATGTTTCTAGCCGCAAAGATTTTTTTTCGTTGCGATCATTCCGTCATGGGGCTTGATTAATGCTTATGCGATAACCAAAAATAATTAATATAATCATTTATTATTTAATTGGTTAAATCATCTTAACCTTCTCGTAAATCATTTTTTTTAAAATAAATAATTTTATGCGAACAAGCAAATTTTAAGTGAATTTTTCAAGAATTTGAAATAGATTTTCATGTAAATGCAAATTTTTTCCTAATTTGCAATATTTATGATTTTTTTTCCACAGAATTTCAGTGAGCTAATAGTTGGTACTTCTTGATAATAAAGATTTTTATTATATAAGCATCAGAGGCGCATCAGAGGTTTGATTCCCTGATTATCTCAGAAATAAACATATCATTGAAATCAGGCTCTCAATGTATTTATACTTCCAACTTCTTCTTCTAATGCCAGGTGACTTCTTGCCGAAAATTTTCAAAGTGCATTAAGAGCAGGCCTAATCAGAAATGCTAATCAATTCGTGTATATAATAAAGATTTTTGATAATGTATAAAATTGGTTTATAATAGCAACAATTCGACTTACCTAAGTGGATGAATGACATACTTACCTATGTGCAATTTGTGAAGCAATTTTGAAATGTATACAATTATGTTTACATTGGCATATGATTCGCATATTCGGATTAAAACCATTTTTTAATAAAATTTCGGCAATATCATTTTGATTATGTGCAATAGCCAAATGCAGTGCATTCATTATTGCACATGAAGTTCTAAAAAAATAAAAAATCATAGCTAGAAAATTTTTTTAATTATAACAAAAATTTTTAAAAATTTTTCGAATATCTTAAACAAGAAAATTTTTGTGTAAAGAAAGAACATATAATTAATTTTAAACTTTCTACCATTTGTATCAATGCAGATATACTGAAATTAAATCACAATATCAGCTTTATATATATATATACCTCATATGTAATAAAGATAAATTTGTTAGCGCATTTGATCGCTTTTGATGATAAGCATGACGTTTCAATGATAATAAATCTGGTATGTTCGTCGTACCACTTGCTGCAATATTCGATGAAATAGGATGCATTCGATTGAAGAATCGATAGATGAGACTTGGATCTTCGCAGTGAATTGCCTATATGTTAATAGTGTAACAGCTTATTTAATTCTTGCAAGATATAAATAGTAAAAGATACTATGACGAATATTGTTGAACTTCAAAAATAAAACAATTATATGGTCAAGTTATGATTGCATCACCTTCGCAAATATCATCAAATATCATCTGCATTAGTAATATCGCAAAGCATCAGCTATGGCCATGGTTAGACTAGGTTTTTCGCCGCTCGTTACGGGAGCCCTTTAAGAAATAAAACAGCGAAGCGATCAAGTTTAATCAAAATCAAAAACCTAGACCAATAAAATCGAAAGAGATTTTAAAGAATTAGTGGGCCAGAGATATATGGGTTCAGAAGAAAAAAATCAGATCAAAAAATCAGGCATGGAAATTTCCCTTTACTGCCATTCTAACCAGTGATGATAATGGCTCAAAGGAAAAAAGCCTGATTTACCGCTTATTTCTTTTAAATCAAGATTTCCAATCCAAGCCTTGCCAAGTCGCACAAAAACTGTTTTAATTACTTGGTTCCAATCCAGTTAGAAACATGGCTCTCATTCTATTACAAAAATTTCACCTAGATAACTTTCTTTATTAATTATCTAATCTAATTTAGATCGTTCTCGAAATTTTGCAAAAATTTACATAAAAATTAAAGTTATTTTCATAAATAGACTTGCAAATATAAATTATATTATTTATATTATAAGATTTTTGCAAAAATAGAAATGTTGAACTAGTGGTTGCTATGGTATCAAGTTCCGTAAATCCAAGAAATTTGCATTGAGGAATTTTTATTTAATCAAAAATTATCCAATTAATTAAAGATAAATTATTTTTTTAATTATTATAATTATTTAATTATTTTATTATCTTAAAATAAAATGTTTAAAAAGTTAAAAAAACAGATGTGATAAAATTTCAATATTAAATTTGTGCAAATATGTCATTTAAACTATTTTTCCTTTATCTGATTTTCAAATATTTATTTTTTTCTTGCAAATCCGATTGAATTACATCTTCAATTAAATACATGAAACCGTTAATTTCAGTAATCTCACCACCTTTACCTTATGATAAGTTGATAAGGTCAATAAGTTAATAAGTTAATAAAAATTAAAAAGTTATTAAATATTAGCGCAAAAAAGGCTGAAAACATCGAATAAAAATAAAAAATATAATGGGAAAAGATAAGACGAAGGAGACAAAGTGAAATAAATTGAATGGATGAAAAGCGAATGGCGCTTATGTAAAAAATTTATTTTACCTTTAAATTAAAGTAAAATATTAAAAATTTTAATTAAAAAATTTTGACACAAAAAATGAATTGAAAGATTCTTATTGAATTTTCATTTTAATTATTGTAAAGGAAAAAAAGGATAAAATTAGAAAAGAGATGAAAAGAGAAATATAAAATTACTATTTTTTAAAACTGTAAAAACCATTCGAATAGAAATATTAATTTATTTGAGCGTAAATAATTGATAATGGGGTTATTTAAAGTTAATTTTTTTCCAATATTTTTATTTTATACTAGTAAACTTAAAAAAGTTCAATTATATATTCGTTAGAATGCAAATGAATTCGAGTGATTGTTGCATGGATTATCAGTTCTAAATCCGAGTGCTGCTGGCCATCTTTCTACCTCTATTTATTTCCCTAAAAATTATTCTCTCTTTTTGAAATCATACTACCTTAGTTTAAAAAAGAAAGAACATTGACTTACTTCAAGCAGTAATTCATAAAATATTTGCCCAGGTGGAAATTTGGCATCATCACGAAGTACTCCTTGATTAGGAAAAGTGAAACTTCTTTCAGTAGTATCGATAGTTGGCGTCCCAGAGGGACATGAATGCACTAGATTTGTAATTTGTTTATTGCCTGAATTTATTAATATTATTGAAACAGATTCCGTTTAGAAAAGTAAATATTACTTCGCATCTAACAGGCATTTTCATCAATATAATAAGGTAAAAAATAAGGTAAAAATGATTTTCATATTGGTTACATTAAATCTCTTTTTCCTTGTTCGATAAATTTTTTTATTATTCAAAAATTTTTGATGAATTTATTGATTAATTCGTTATAAATAATTAATTAAATTACGGAACACTTAAAATACTTAAAATCCGTCTTTTTCCTATTTATTTAAAATTAAAATTAGTATAAAATCTAATTAAAATTCTTCATTTTTTCTGACAGCTCATACAACACTGGTTAGGCTGGTTGCACTAGCTACGAATAGGACGTTTCCATGCCGCTAGAGTTTGATACCATATTAGAGATTTTTTAAAAAAGCTATTCCTTTTTCTATTGTCTAATATATTTTTGGGCCATCCATCTGTTGAAATTTCTTCTGTACATCAGTCTAGGTCTTGATTGCATCATCCTCACTTTTGATGTTATCTATCACAGGATTTAATAATGAGCTAGTGCGAATATAGGTAATGTTTGAGAGAATGTGGATGCTGTTATGTGAGATTTTATCTGCTCAGAAAGCACATGGAATATGCCTTAGACATAAATGAATGGCCACGTTTTATAGCTATGTAACACTAATGATAAGCACTATAGCAAATAGATGCAAATCTGATAGTGATTTTTTCAACAATCCGATAGTTGTACATGAATGGATTCAAGAATAAAAAATATTAATAAAAATAGCTGCGTCTGGTATATAAGACGAAAAATCATATTTATGTAGTTCGATTTTTTTCTGCAGTCACTATTAAGCATTTCTTACACTATCATTATCAAACATTTCTTCATGACTATTAGTAAAAAGAAAGCCTTTAGCTATTCTCTGGACTGACCCCTAGATTTCCGGCAAGGGGTATCCATAAACCAATCAATCACATAGAATATTGTAGCGAAAAGAGCACAGCAAAGACCGCGGCGGATATCAGTTTTTATTTCAAAAGAATGTGTTAGTTTCCCTTATATAGAAACATCTGTCGATATATGCTGGAAAATACCTTTCTAAGTCGAATGATTTTCTCTGGAATACCGTTGCACTGCTCTTCAGAGTGCTGCCATATTACCTACATAAAAGGCGAAAGTTAAAATTAATAAAGTGGGTTGCAAATATTGCGATGTTCCAATATATAGAATGAATATTTGTCAGCAGATCTATATCTCAACAGTTTGTATCTCACATCTGTATCTCACATTTGTTCTATCAGCATTCTTAAGGATTGGGAGTATGATTGTTTTGCTTTAGTCATCTGGAATCGATTCTTCCATACTAAAGAATTCACTGAAAAAAAGTTGTAAAAGGCATTGGACAACATTTATAAAAGACATTGGACAGCCTTCAATCCGAAGAATGCCTCTTCTAATTCTGTGTCTTCTAATTCTGTGTTTCTGTGTTCTGAGCCGCAAGTTTTGCTATAAATTTCCGAGAATTTGCTATAAATAATCGAGATTATCTATTTCTCTATGGAGGATTACAATTAATAAAAGTGATCTTATAGCATTTAGCTTTATCCGGAATGACAGATTTAAAGAAATGAAACCTCCTTAAATGAATAAGGCAGTTTTAAACAATTCCAAGAAGCACTACTATTATCATATCATTTCATTAACCCTTGTCTGAGTTATGTTTATTTGATGAAAAAGGTGGAAGTTTCCTACTGCCTATTCGAAAACGTTTCCATTTTCAAGACCTTATCAATCTATCACTCTAATAAAGATTTTTTCTTGTTATACCGTTATTGTTGCTTTCAAAAAGCCAGGATCTTCTGACATACTCTGGCAACAAGCCTTTTCGGACAGTTAGAGTATTAACACCCAGTTACTGCATTTCCGACTGGCATATCCTAGCGTTGATTGGATTGGCTTCCAAAAATACAAAAACGCCAGTTTAGACCAATATTGGTTGTCCTTTCCAGTCAGTTCTCACCTTTTCTTCACTTATTTTTTGCTATGATCAACGCAAGGAATAAAATAAAATGCCTAACAAATCAAAGAAAATATTTTCTTCTTCTTCTAACAGCTCTCATCATTACTTATTACTCTGGCTATAAGGGTTAGACGCTATGAAGTAGCGCGGTCTGATGCCATCGTCGACATTAATAGAAGCCATTCCTTTTTCCATCGTCTAAGTCCATATATTGCTAGTCCATCTAAATATTTAAAATCTTTTCTGACCGTATCAATCCAGGTCTTCATTGGTCCACTTTCCTTCTGCTAAATAGACATGGAATACGAGATAGCAGAATGCATCCTAACCAAGCTGGATTCAGATCGGGTTGACTGACCTGATATTAACACTAAGAAGGATGCTGGAACATTATTTCAAATATCAGGTACTTAGCGTCACTTGCTTTATCGATTTTGCAAGTGCCTTCAATTCGATTGATAGAGCTCTAGGAAATGATGGAATGTGATGGTGTCTCAAAGAAGATCATTCGGCTCACAAAGGTATTTTATATCTACACAGGTCTATGTATGTGGGAAATTGACGGATTCCTCCGAAATAAGAACTGGTGTCCATCAGAAATATTCAATTATGCGATAGACTGGGCAATGGGCATCGCTTTTCGGTACTCAAGAGGTTTCCAGACCATACCATCATAGACCTTGATAAGCAAATAATGCTAAACAAACTCAGAACCAATGTAAATAAAACAAAAGTGTTTTCGCACTATATACAAGAAATAATA